CAGTCAGGGAGGCGGAAATGCGCAGTACACACGGGTATTTTAGCTGCTGCCACAAGCCTCCCACTGCTTTCTCCTGGGCGCGGACGGAGAACGTTTACTGGGGACAGAAAGTGGGAATCCGCTAAAGCCTTTAGAGGTGTGCCTGGGTGGGGTGGGCTGGAGCTTGGGAGGCTTCAACAGGATAGCCAACTGCTCCCGGCTCCGCTTCACAGGGACGCGGGTTGGGGACCAGCAGGACTTTGGAACCTACTATTGGAGGTGTTGCAAGAAAGAGGGCGCACACTCTACACGCACGCTTGGCACCACAGCTCGCTGCAGCCAGCCGAGCCCCGCGGGTCACCCCCTACTCCAGGCCGCGGGTGCGGGAGCGTCCTCCGCAACCCGCACCCCTCCGTCTGCCTGGACCACCCGCAGAAGCAGCTTGGCCCTGAGTGCAGGAGGCGGGCCCCGAATCGCCCCGAGCCGGGGCGCGTCACGAGCGCCCGCTCCTGATTGGCCGGCCGCGGCTGTCACGGGCCGGGCGCACTGGGATTGGTGTCGCCCGAGGCCAGAGCTGGAGTAACTGGACTCCGGGCGGCCGCTTGGAGTCCCGGAGCCTGAGGGGCTGGCGTCGGCGCCGAGCCCAAAGCCCTGGGTGGGAGCCTGGCAGGGACGCGCGCACCATGCCCTACCTGCTCATCAGCACCCAGATCCGCATGGTGAGTACCCGCCGCCCGGCGACTTGGACAGAGTTCGGGCCGGGCCCGGGCCGAGGGGGCTGCGACTGCACCTTGGCGCCTCCCTCTGAGGCAGCGCTTGCCAGTGACTGGATCCGGAAGCCGCCCGGGACACGCCCCCTCGGGCGGAGGAGCCGAGGCTGCGGAACCAAGTCAACCCGGAGCGCCGGACTCGGGGAGTCCTGGCCGGCCCGGTGCTTCCAGGGCCGCGAAGGGGGCGGGGTGCGTGCATCCCCGCGGCGGAGGGAACTCCGGGGGCTTGCGGCTTCTGACCTACCTGTCCGCCCGAGGAAGCCAGGAACCCCTGGTCTCATGGCGCAGCAACCACGGCCCTACACAGAGCCGCTCCGCAGGGGTTGGAGGTGGGGGTGGTGGGAGTGCAAATACATGGGGGAAAAGAGGTTTGAAAAAGAAAAGGACGTGCTGAGGCGCCAAAACACCTGTCAAGTGCCTGGCCCTCAGGCACTTCCAGAAAGAGCTATCCCTGAGCCCTTAGGAAAGACAGAAGGAGGAGACAGGCCCTGTGGTTAGAGGTGGGAAGACCATTCCGGAGTCAGAGTGATGCCCCTTTTTCTGGATGCAATTTCGTCGTCCAAGGCAGAGTTGGTGCCTCCAGGAATCCCTTTTTAACTTCAGAATAGTTTAACTGGGCACCTCCGCCTCTTCCCACTCCCCAGTGCTTTGGTGATCCATCAGCGGGTGCACAACTCTCTGGAGGTGAAGACAACAGGAGAGCTCACCGCGTGACAGGAGGGGTCTTGGCCGTGTCCTAGGGCAGTGGCTTGAGAATCAGTTACTTGTGCAGTTGTTAAAATGTGGACTCCTGGGCCCCTCCCCAGAACTCCCCAAATACTAAGCCTGGGGCTTAGGAATTCGGTGCTCTTCAGGTGATTTTTTTTTTTAATAGAACAGCTTTACTGATGTATAGCATACATATACCACAGAACTCACGAATTTAAAGTGTACAATTCAATGTTTTTTATTTTTAGTTTTTTATTATTTAAAAAAAAATTTTTTTTAACGCTTATTTATTTTTGAGACAGAGAGAGAGAGCATGAACGGGGGAGGGTCAGAGAGAGAGGGAGACACAGAATCTGAAACAGGCTCCAGGCTCTGAGCAGTCAGCACAGAGCCCAACAAGGGGCCTGAACTCACAGACGGTGAGATCATGACCTGAGCTGAAGTCGGCCACCTAACGACTGAGCCACCCAGGCGCCCCCAATTCAATGTTTTTTTTTTTTTTTTCAACGTTTATTTATTTTTGGGACAGAGAGAGACAGAGCATGAACGGGGGAGGGGCAGAGAGAGAGGGAGACACAGAATCGGAAACAGGCTCCAGGCTCTGAGCCATCAGCCCAGAGCCCGACGCGGGGCTCGAACTCACGGAGTGCGAGATCGTGACCTGGCTAAGTCGGACGCTTAACCGACTGCGCCACCCAGGCGCCCCCCAATTCAATGTTTTTAACCGACTGCGCCACCCAGGCGCCCCCCAATTCAATGTTTTTTAAAGCATCCTCAAGAGTTGTGCAGCCATCACCATAATCAATTTTAGAACATTTCCATCACCTTCAAAAAACCTATACCTATACCATGCATGTTAGCCGTCATTCCTCATTTTCCCCCAAATCCCCCAGCCCTAGATAACCATAGGTTACCATTTCTATGGCAATATGTCGTCTTTTTGTGTCTGGTTTCTGAAAACTTACATGTTTTCAAGGTTCTTCCATATTGTAGCATGTATTTGTCTTTATTCTTTTTTTTTTCCAAATAAGATCCAGCGCATGTGTAGCTGTATCATTTTATTTATGCATTCATCTGTTGACAAACATTTAGATTGTTTCCACATTTTAGTTTTTGCAAATAATGCTATGAACATTCCTGTACAAGTTGTATGGACATGTTTTCATTTCTGTTTTCCAGGTGATTCTGATACACACAGACACGGGTAGTGATGCTTGGCAGGAAGTTGCCAGCAGTTGGGCAATGACCAGCTCAGCTTGGAGGGACTGGGGAGGCCTCACATGGCCTGGCCTGATCACTGAGGGCCAGTGAGTTTCCTCACCACACTCTCCAGCCTTGACCTGAAACTGGCTCAGGGCCAGCAGGCAGGGGAGGAAGGAGAGAGACCTTCCACCTCTCCCAGGCCGCCAGCCAAGCAGCCACTGTGGCTTACCTTGCAGGAGGTGGGCCCTACCATGGTGGGCGATGAGCACTCAGATCCAGAGCTGATGAGGTATCTGGGGGCCTCAAAGAGAAGCGTCTTGGGAAACAACTTGTAAGTAGTGGCATTCTTCAGGATCTCCCTGCCAGCCCCTAAACCTGTCCGTTTCCTTTAACAAAACGAAGCCCAGGGACGATGCCACCGCCCAGCCTCAGAGGCCGTGCCTGCATCCTGGGGTTCTGTCTTCTATAGGGTCAGTCCCGTCTGTGGCTTTACCGCAGCCCCCAGGCTTGCTCTGAAAGCATTCTCACTGGGCCTCCCTTCACAAGGGAGCCCCAGGACCCAGTCCAGCTGGGTGCAGGACTCCATAAGTGGACTGTTCTTTACTCTGCCCTCTCATCTTGGAGCTGGACCCCATCAAGCCAAAGATAGGCACAGAAAAGTCTCTCTCTTGAAGAGCTGGCTGAGTTAAGAAAGCTGAACTCTAGAAACAGGCAGCAGGCAGCCTGGGTCCTACTTTCAGCTCAGCTGCTGCCTTGGAGCTCGTGAGAAGGGTTGGCAGAATGAGCCTCAAAGAGGGGAAAGGGGAGGCAGGCTGGACCCGGGCCCTTGGGTCAGGGTTGGAGGGCTGAAGCCAGCCCCATTCCTTTACCATGAGCCATTTGTCTTGAGATGCCCAGCTTGGGGCTTGAGCCCTTTATCTGATCGACAACCCTGAAAGAAGGGACAGCAAGCATTCTCCGTGCTAGAGAGCAGCACCCAGAGCCACTATTAGGGGCCAACCTGTTCCTCCAAGACTGCAGGACAGACAGGGCAACAAGAGGGGGCAGAGCCTTGGGGGAGGACCCTGGAGAGAACAGGCCATTCCTCCAGAATAGTGCAGCGGCCCAGGGCACATGGGGCTGTCATCAGACTAACATGGGTTCTAGGATCTCAATAACATTTGGAAAGCTACTTAGCCCTCCAAGTTTTATATTTATAATTATAAAATGGGAATAATAATGGTACCTTCCTTAGGGTATCGGGAAGAAGAAAGAAGATATGCAAGCCAAGCGCTTGGCTGGGGAGGGGGTGGGGAATGTGCACTTAGCCTGGCACCTGGAAGGCACCCAGCAAATGTCAGTCACTACTAGGATTCCTGACAAGGCCTGGTCATCAGCAGATACTAGTTTTACTTGGGGAGCCTGTGCTGTATATCCCCTCATGCTGTCCCCTCTTCCCCTTCTCTTCACAGTTGTGAGTACTTTGTTAATGACCCTCCTCGAATAGTCCTGGACAAACTGGAACGCAAGGGCTTCCGTGTGCTGAGCATGACAGGCGTGGGCCAGACGCTGGTGTGGTGCCTGCACAAGGAGTGACCCTCTCACGCTGAGGAGCAGACGGCACACCCCTCTTTTGAGCGGTTGCCATGGCCCCCGATCCGGAGTCCCCGTTCACTCACTGCCCGGCCCCTCTCTTCCCAAATTGTCATTTTCCTCAGCCCAGCACCACCGGGCAATGAATGGCCTTTTCTGAAACTTGCCTCGGCCGGTGGGAGAGGGCAGGGCCGCTGCCCTGGTGCTCCCAGCAGCCCCTCCAGCTTCTGGGCCCGAGAGCCCTGGAGGAGGCCATGTTCTGTGGGAGCCACGAGAGCCAGGTTGTCCCCGGCCAGAAACTGGGAGCCCGTGAGGAGCATGGCCCCAGGACTGGGCGGGAGGGTCCTGCGTAGCTAGTCCAAGCCAATAAAGGACTGTGATGAGTGGTTGCTCCTCTGTGCTGCTGCCCCACTGACTCTGTGTGGAGCACCTCCCTGGGGGTCTGCCCGCTCCTGGGAGGGGAGCCAGGCCTGGGTGGAACCCTCTCAGGCAGAGCCCAGAAACCAGGGCCATGCTTGGGCAAGCCAGCACCCTACGTCCACACAGGCAATAGAGGTAGACTCTTGGAAAAAACAAAAAACAAAAAAACCCAAACTTTATTGGTGCCGTGGAAGACGAGGGCTTTGGAGGGGAGTGGGCTGGAGGCAGGAGGCTATGTGGGCTGCCCCACCTCGTCCTCCTGCTGCATCTGGGCGATCAGCTGTTGCCGCTCAGCGGCCTGGCGCATGCGCATCATGACGAGGCTCTCATAGTCCCTCTCGGACAGCACTGAGCCCTGGCGGACAGAGGGGGACAGGAGATGGTCAGGGCAGCAGGGCACAGCCACACAGAATCTAGACTTGGAGGACTGGGTCTACACAGAGCTAAGGTCTTGAGGCAAGGAGTGAGGATGCCCGGGACTTCTCTGCTGGCTCCCCTCTAAGCCATCTCCAGCAGCTCTCAACCCCCCTCCCCGCAGGCCTTCCATCAACAGTCAGCCCTGCTTCAGCTTCTTGGGCTGAATCACTTCTTCGTGTTCCAGCCAGGCCCTGTCTCCCTCCATTTCCTCTCCGGCCTTCATGTGACACTCCTTTCCTCTACCCGTGGCTCCTGCTTCTCACAGGTTTGCAGTGAAGGGGTTGTCCCGAGGTACAGAAATCCACTCCGCTTTGCCAGGTGGAGGCGACAGCACCGCCCCCTCCCAGCTGCCCACCTCCCTGTGGTCTGGCTCCTGTGGGACATGAGAGAAGGGAGCCCTACCCTGGACCCAGCCTCTGTCAGCCCGCCCTAGAAGGAGAGAAACAAGCATGAAGCCGTTTGCCTCTTAGAAATACACACCAGGGCTGCTGGAGGGCAGGGCCCGTGCCTTTTTCTTTTATGATCTTGCCAGCACAGTGCGGGGGATTAAAGAGTGCTATATATCAACAATCAAAAGAATAATAAACAAGCAATCCAATGGGCCAAGGCTGTGGGGTGGGGAGGCAGCTCTACAGGAGACTTGATCCACCAAGCCCACACCCTGATAAGGTCTGCAGTGGGAATTAAATCACTTCTTCCGTCAGTACAGCTGGAGTGGTGTGAAGCGGGAAGCCCACCCCAGTTGGCCAGGAAGTGAGCCGGGCCGGGGGGGGGGGTTGCAAGGCAGAGCACACTGCTAAGCCCTGTTCTTTGGTACACCACTCGAGTGTGCACTCATGGAATTATCCAGGGGGAGAGTTCAGTGGTCAGTGACCTGGGGGATAAGAAGGGAGTGGCTGGGGTTAAGATGCCAGGCCTTGGCCAAGTGGTATGAAGTAAAGGGTGTACAGAACCAGGAAGTGTTACTCAGCCCTGATCCCCCTGCTTCTCGGAATAGTGCCAGCCTTGCTGCTTCCAGCCGCAGCAGCTTCCAGGAGAGTTGTCCTCCCAGCCAGGCCCACGCACCTAAGGCTGGCCCAGGGTACTGCTGACAATTCAGGGCAGCCCTGTGTGGCCTTTTCCGCAGAGGAGGGACCGCGAATAAGGCCCAAGAGGCCTGAGGGGAAGGCTTGGAGTGTGGCGGGAGAGGAGGCCACAGGACACTGGCCCTCAACTGCTCTCTCTGGCCCTGAGGCTACCGGAGGAAATCGAGGAAGATGAGGAACCACCAGACTGGGTGTTAGGCCCAGGAGAGGGCAGTTCTCCCTCCCCAAGGTAATGCTGCACTGCTGAGAAAACTTAAGAGTCACCCTGGCATGCCCTGAGCCCAGCCCTGGGAGGAGCCAGCCCTTTATAGACATGGGGCTGCTTCCCGTTAACACACCCTCTGCCCCACCCCCACCCCCCATACCTGCAGGCTTGGCTAATGAGGGCCTGTCACCAGGCCCCAGGACTGAGTCACCCACACCAGTGACAGGTCTCTCTTCCTTCCCCAACAACTGTTCCACATGCCTGCCTTTCAATTAACTCCCACCCTCCCCGAGCTCCTCCCGCCCAGACACACGAAGGGGCAGCTGGGGAGCAGGCCCACCAGCTAGGGCCCAGGGCAGTGGGGCTGTGGGGCAAAAGGAGGCAACGTGGTGACACACAAAGCAGGGCTGCCCCCCAAAAGTCCCCAGGGGAATCCTAAGCTTCCCTGTGCCTTGGGGTGTTGGCCACGGCTGGCCCAATCCCTGCATGCGGATGCCGCAATTATCTAAGAGCATGAAACCCAGCTTCCCACCTGACTGAGTCACCTGAAAACAATAACACGTTCCCCACTGCCACACACCGGCACAAACAGCCAAGCTACTAATCAGAGCCCGGGAGCCGCCGTGGAGAGGCCTGGCCCTGTGCTGCCCTAGAGCCAGGCACAGGGGCCAGGGAGGGAAGGTGAACTTAGGACCACCAGGAGCCAGGCGCTGGGGAAGCAGCACAGGCCACTCTCGCACCACAGAGATCCATCTCTGACACCACAGGCGCTGCCCTCACTCCGGCTCCAGTAAGTGCTGCTTCTTCCTCTTGGGATTTTTTTTTTTTTTTCCATTACCCTATCAAGTAACCAGGCCACTCCTGTCCCTCTGGGAAACTCCTGTCACCAGGAACTCCTGGTTCTCTACTCTCCTGGACAAAAGTGCCCTCTTTCCAGGACCCCTTCCCACCATCCAAGATGCTTCTAGACCACTAGGGCTGTCTCCCTGATTCTTGCCATTCACTGCTCCAGTGGGGACCTAATGCTCCCTGGCAACTCTTGAACTGGGCTGCTGAGGTACGGAGCTTGTCTGTTGGCTCCCCTGGGTGCCATGGAGACCTGGCGGAAAGGCTCCTTCCGCAACGCCTCCTTCTTCAAGCGGCTGAGCCTGGGGCGGCCGAGACGACTCCAGCGACAGGGCAGCGTGCTCAGCCAGGCCAGCACGGCTGGCGGGGATCACGAGGAGTACAGCAACCGAGAGGTCATCCGGGAGCTTCGAGGGAGGCCAGATGGACGGCGCCTGCCTCTGTGGGGGGACGAGCAGCCCCGGGCCACCCTGCTGGCCCCACCCAAGCCTCCTCGCCTGTACCGAGAGAGCTCCAGCTGCCCCAACATCCTGGAGCCCCCACCTGCCTACACTGCTGCCTACACGGCTACCCTGCCCTCGGCGCTCTCCCTGGCGGGCACCCTCCACCGCTACTCTGAAGAGGACCTTTTGGACACTCCCCCCTTCCAGAAGACACCTGCCCCAGACCTGAATGATCCCTTCTTCTCCTTCAAAGTGGACCTGGGGATTTCGCTTCTTGAGGAAGTTCTACAGATGCTGAGGGAGCAATTTCCCAATGAACTTAGCTTCTGAATGGAGTGCATGGAAGGCAGAGGTGGGGTAACTGGAAGAGCTGGAAGCCTGGAGGCCCAGGGAAGAAGGATACAGTTGCAGATTAAGAAAAAGGTAGGGACAGAAATCCAGGATCCTGCCTTCCTTCCGGGTCCTGAACAGTCTTCCAGGTTATCCTGGAGCAGAGGGACAGAGGGACAGAGGCAAGCCGGAGGAAATGTCTTGAGGGGGTACTTGCTGGCGGGAGCCCTGAAGGCAGCTGGCTAAGCTGGGGAAGGGAGGCCATGCCTGTAACCACGGGGACAAGGCAGAGGCCAGCAGAGGAGGAGGCGAGCACCAGGGGTGAGTCAGGGAGTGGAGGACTCACACTGAGCAGATCAGATGGGTGCCCTGCAGCAGCTCCTCTGAAGCCACTGTTTATAGAGAGACGTTACAGGGCAGGTCTAGGCAAAAGTGGTCTGACCCAGGCCAAAGAGGAAAGTGGGGAGACCTGAGGGAAGAGCCACTAAGGACATGTGGTTGTTCAGATTGAAATGAGGTAAAATTAAAAATTTAGTTCCCTGGTTACACTGGCCACATTTCAAATATCCAGCAGCCACACGTGATTAACGGCTACCACATTGGACAGCGCCAGTTGCATGTAAACATCACTGGACAAAGTCCTGTTGGACAGCACTGGCAGAGACCAGGGCCCGGAGCCACCAGTGCCATGGTGGGGTCAGGGGGAAACATCTGGGGGAGGGAAGGGCTGGCAGAGTAGGAAGAGTGAGGCATACAGAGGTGCAGAGTAGACTCAGGAAAAAGGCCACACAAATCATTTCCAGAAAAGAGACACGAGAGACACACTGCCAACAGAGCTGCCCAGAGCATGCCCTGGTGCCCGAGGAAGGTGTCTGTAGGGAATGCCAGCCAAAGGCACAGACACGGCTTGCAAACGGGTGCTCGGAGAGTTCCCAGAATTACTAGTGATGGGAGCCCTTGGGAAACGTAGCAGAAAGAGTGGCAGATTTCCCTCCTTCTTGCCCTGGGAGCACCGGACTGGATCAGAGGATGGACACGAAACTCGTAGCTGTTACCATAAAGAGGCTCAGCTGGTCTCCAGAACTGTCCACAGGATTGGGGAGCTCTGCCTTGCCCAAACCCCCCGATGATGGGGACTGCCGTGCAGGGCTGAGCCCCCTGGGTCAAGGCCATAGGCTCTGCTACTGCCCTGCCCTGTGGCCTGGCCAGAAGACTTGAAACCAGAGCCCAAATTGGCTGGGCCATGTGGTTTTGACACTCCAGGCCTTATCAAGCATGGCAGAGGGGGAGAGGAAGCTTCAACACACACTGCTTCCATACCCAAACCTGTGGCCCCTCTCTCCCCTCCTCTGTGTGGATGCGCTGAGCTGAAAGGCTCCCCTCCGGACGCAAGATATATGAATAAAGTTCTTTACAACATGGCCTATGGAGTGTCATCTGGGGCTGTGAAATGCTGGGACTTAACAGTGGGGAATGAGGTCTCTACAGAAGGGTTCCGCGTTGGGCTCACACCAGTTCATCTTCCTCCTCTGCCCAGGATCTGGGATGCACTCCTAGGGAGCTTCCCATCCTCACAGCCAGGTGAGGAGCACACAGGAGAGCAGAGGTGGCATGACTGAGGCAATAAGAGCAAAGCCCTTGCGAATCCCTGGGGGCCCTCCCCCCAACCCCCAGAGTGGCCGTGCACACAGCAGCCTGCAGCTCCCACATAGACCCAAAGGCCATTTCAGAGATGGGAGAGCTCTGGGCCTGAGAGTTTTCTGTCCCATCAAATTGGGGTGGTGTAAACAGGGCCGGTGTCCGGGTGTCCTTGTGCTGAACAAAAGCCCTCATGGAGCTGTGAGGACGACTAAGCCAGACCCCAGGTGCACATCAGCTGAAATCTGCACTTCACCATGCACTTCACCCCAGGGCCAGCAGGGTAGCCAGTGTTATTTCTAAGGAGATACTGCCTCTTGACGGTAGGCAGGCGCCTGTGTGTGCGGCAGCCACAGACACACCTGGAGACCTGGAGCTGGGGAGGAAGCAGCTGCTCGCCTTGCCTGCCCCTTCCTTCCCTTCAGTAGCTGGTAATCTAAGCCCCAAATGCTTCACACCACAACCAAGCAACCCATGGGCCAGGAAAGCCCCTCTGGGTTGATGGTGAGAGCCCCAGCAGGAGACCGGGACGTGGAGAGAATCTAAGAATTCTGTGTGGGGTGGGGCCCTGGCACTCAGAGACAGAAAAGAGTCAGAACAGAACCACAGTCCTGCTTAAGTTGACAAACCTGCCAATCTCACTGTGCTCCTCGGGAGGAAAGGGCCCTGAGATGAACCCACACGGGAAAAGGTCCTGCAGACCCAGCTAGGGGAGGTTTGGTTCCTTACCTGTGACAGTCCTGGGTGGCTGGGGCCCCCTGCGCCCTGGGGCCGTCCCTCCAACCAGGAAATCTTCAGGGGGTTATCGATCAGGCCCACTTCATTTTGGACAGCCAGCTCCTGTCAGACAGAGCACCTGGTCCTGGTACCATGGCTCTAATCAGCCATAGAGTGGCTCTCTCTACACCCATACAAAGAACCCACACCAGCACTCTTATCTTCCAGGCAAAACCAAGCAACCTTCACACAATGATGTGCTGAGGTTTTGACCCTCCTCATGGGTGAGTCAGGGGTATGAGCCTTCTAACCAGGGAGTGGGGAAGAGGCAAAGCCTGCCAGGAGGCGTGCCAGCTTCCGCAGGAGGACAGAAGGTAGAGGGTGTGGAGCCAGGCAGCAGGAAATGAAGTCGGTGTATGCTCTCCTTCATCCCCAGAGCATTCTCCTGTCTTACCTTCACTCCCTGTGCCTCTACTCCCAGGAATAGGGGGGCCTCTGGGGAGTCTTGGCTCTGAGCTGGCCCAGAGGTCCCTTGGGAGTATGGACATCTAAGCTCAGAGGGCCCACAGTACCGGGTCCGTACTCTGGAATGGCAGGGCCACCAGTGGCCCCCCAAAGCCTCACATGGCACTCACCGCAGCCTTGACGGTCGCAAACTCCACCACGGCGGTGCCAGCCTTCTTGCTGGAAAGCACCAGGTTGAGCACCTCTCCGTACTGTGAGGACAAAGGGGGCTCAGTAAGCATGGCAAGGAGCAAGACAAGCCTGGGTTGCCCTGAGGCCTGCTGGGGCATTTTTGGCTGGGGGATAATGCTTTGTTGCTAAGTTCCCAGAGAGGGATGAGAGATGGGAAAGAAAGGATATTTTTGCCAGGATGAAGAAGGATAGCAAAGGAACCCTTAGCAAAGGGCTGAGAACTCAGACTGGCAGAGCTGCAAAGCAGCCTCAGGGACCAAAGGTGGAGAAGCGGACGGGGCTTCTGTGCAACCTGCCCACCTCATCTCTCCCCACACACTCAAGACGGCAAGGGCTAGAACTAGGTAGGGAAGGTGAGACCTAGGAGGGCATATGGCAACACAGGTGGCTGGGGAAAGCCTCTAGGCTGCTACATGGTCTGTGAGACAGAAAAAAAGGCTGCTAGAGATGTTAAGGGAGTTTTGACCCGGAGATCCAGGGTTTGGGCTGAGATACAGATGGAGATGATGAGAAAGATGGAGGGCGGCAAGGCAGACCTTCTGGAAAAGCTGTAGGAGGACATCTCTGGAGTAGCTGCCTCTCGACTCATCTTCCTTCTTGCACTTCCATTTTAGCTGAAAGGATGGCAGTGGGCATCACCATTAAACTCTGACCTTGGCCTGAACAGTCCCAGCCCCACACCTGAGCTTTACAGTCTGAGCGACACCCTCATGGTCTTCCAGGCACTTGTAATCTAGGGAGCCCCCCATAAAGATGTGTTCCTCTTGAAAACGGACCTGCAGGGTGGCCTGCTCACCCACACAGCCACACGTCCAGACCTATAAGATGCTCTCCTTCCAAGGCTTCTGAGAAGGGCTGCCTGGCAACTGCCAGGGCTAAGAGCGGCCTTGTGTGGCAAGCTCGGAGAGGCCATTCAGATCCCCAGGTAGTGACAGGATGGAAGGAATGGGTAGTTGCGCTGGCTCCCAGAAACCCAGTGTCCCCGCTAGAACCCCCTGAGCCACTGGAAACATCTGTTCTTGCTGACAAGAGGTGGTATGAGGTGGCCCGTGGATCCCGCAGGGCTCACCTTTAGCTTGGGGGTTCCTCTGCCTTCAGGATTTTCTGCCTTTCCTAGAAAATTTGGGAAAATTAGCAAGGTAGAATAGGAGGGAACACAAAGTTCTCTAAAGGAGACACAGTCCAGAGTTTGAAGGGCTTGGGAAAGGGCACTCCTGACCAAAGGCATAGCTGGCCGGCCCTGGGGATGAGCCTGGTGGGGAAGGGAGAGGCAATCCCACCCCCATCCTGAGGAGCTGCCCCCTCCAGGGTGGTGCGCCCAGCTGCCTGCTATAGGCCATGATTAGCACTCTGCTAACGAAGGGCTCTCATCGCCTCGCAGAAGCATGAGGCAGAGGTAAAACCCCACAGTTCTACTGAAACAAAGTATCCGGAGCCTTTCCCCTACTGATCTCCTCCACAGTAGAGCCAGCCCTGCTTAGGACTAAGATAAACAAGGGCAGGAGATCTCAGGGTGAGTGAAAAACAAATAGGCCCTAAAGAAGTGGTAGGAAGAAGGAACAGGTGGCGTATGTCTGAGTCAGGTGCCCCTAGGGTTCTGAGCAGCTGGAAGCCTCCACAGCAACTCCACCAAGCAGCCAGCGTGGCCGCTCTGGGCATTTGGAGCTGCCTCAGAGGAGAGGCGGGTGGGGGTGATGGATGCCTACCTCTCAACCTCTGCTCCCGTTCCTGGCGTATCTGCTCCTGGATCAGCCTCTGTTGTTCCTCCAGCTGCCGGGAACCCTCTTCTCGAAGGCGTTCGATCTGCAGAGCGGGGTTGGGGGGAGTGACATTTCTGTGCAGATCCAATTCCAGTTTGGCTCACCTTGTGAAGGTCCCTGGGAGGCTCCACCTGCAAGCTAGGGCTCAGCAACCTGCGGGTTGGACAGATTACCCAGATCCACAGAAGAAGACAGCCACGACAGCCACCTAGGCTCACCCTCCTCCTTCTCCTGCAGATGGCTTTAGGCCAGCATGCCTGGAGGCTCACCTCCTGCTCTAGCGTCCTGGTGCTCCGGCTCTCCTCCTCCTCCTCACTGCCGTGGGCCTGGGCCTGCCGTTCCCGGGCCTCCAGGTCTAGGCACAAGAGTTGAGTGACCCAATGTCTGGTCTAAGCAGTTCTACATGGCCTCAGCCAACCCAAAGTCTCACACAGAATGAAACCATATAGTACCTCTGCCCCCTCCCTCCAAGCCCGTGTGCTCTCAAGTTAATCTTCATTGACAAAAGTCATAGTGTGGAAGAAGTATAGGTTCCAGCTGAGTGGCCGGGGTCTGGAAGAGTTAAATCAGCAGCTCGTGCTGACCAAGCTGGTTCTCTGATCAGTGAACAGGGTGTGGGTGGGTGCTTATGTCAGCAGCCCAGGGCCATGTGGCAGGGATGCCAAGGGTGGAGCTGCTGGCCTGTCCCTGTGGTTTGGCACAACAGCCTGACCTCGACCTTGGCGTTGATGCTTT